TTTTTTTTTTGGTACAAAGTAGATGTTAGTGCTAGACGGAGCTAGTGACCGACATTTCGTGGATAAGAGACACCTCTAACATCGTGCTCTAGCCACGGAATGACACCTGATGGTGGGACTAAAAGACGATGAAGACCGAGAGAGATTGAGGTTGCCTGAGACGTCAAGTAATCCGCTGCGAAATTCGCCTCTCGAAAAATATGCGAGATCTTAACCTGCCATTCCCGACTGAGTAGTTCTCGTATACCTAAGACTAAGCTCGAATGCACACCACTTATGTCCTCTGTGTTGTACGCATAGCCTACAACATTAGCATTGTCCACTTCCGCGGTAGCTTGCCAATATTCCATATCCCAAGCTATACTAAGACCCTGAAGTAGCGTCCATAACTCCGCACCGGTGATAGAACACAATCCAATATTGAAGCCACCTAGCCATCTACCATTGTCCCTAATTTATGTCAATTTTTCTCATCCACCAGTTTTATTTTGGAACCCCATGTGACAATTCCTTTATCAATTAGCATGTGTTAATTAATAACACTGGTCAAGTTTGTAAAGAGCAACTTTGGAGAAAGATTACAAAAAAAAAAGAGTTTCTCTATATGATGTGTCATCATGAGGTGCAACGTATAGCAATGCAGCTTCTATGGCGTCATCGCTTGATTATCTTATTGTAAAATTCATTATTGAAAGCAAGTTCCTTTTTTTTTTTTTTTTTTTTTNTACTACTGGATGGTATCCTCATGTTCATCTGTGGCTTATACCCCTAGTCCAAGCCACATTGGACCCCGGCCCCACAGAAGGAGCACCTCATAGTCAATCGGGTTGATTTGAAAAACAGTCCAAACGCCTAAATCAGTCTCGGGTCGACCCGTCGGGTATTTTAGTCCCAAAATCTATCTATATTCTTATAAAAAGAATAATCTTTTTTTTTAAAAAAAAATAGAAAGTCAAATTCTTAGTAAAAGTTTGTTGGCATTAAATACTTACCAATTCGGGTAAGTTTTTGAATTTTTTATTCAGTGAAATGGGAAAGCATTAAATGCTTCCCTTAATTTGTGCGATTAGTTGTGACTTATAGTAAAAGATTCAATTTCTATAGCTACTGTGTGATTTCATGTCGCCCGGTTGCATTTTGCCAGAGTTCATCCGTCTATTACATGAGTAATTAAAAGAATTTATAGTTATGTTTTATGGTAAAAGATTGAATTTTGTTACCTATGTGAATTATACTTATTATTCATATACATATAAATTTTTAAATATATGATAAAATTTTACCAAAATAATTATTTTATAGAATCATATTGTAGTCAAATCAAATTTGTGAATAAAATTTAAAACGAGACATATTTTGAAATAATATAATGTATTTTATTATCAATTACATGCACCGTAGGGGTTGTGTACTAATTTTACATTTTTTTTTTCTTCTTAAGGAGGATCAATAGTGTTCTCAGTTCCCCTACTCAGTTACTCAAACCCATGACCTATTGGTCATAGGTGAAACGTCTTACCACTCAAATTGCGCTTCATTGTCGGGTTGTGTATTGATTTTAAATAAGGGTAAAAATCTTTTTCACCCCATTATATATCTATTCTTTCTTTTTCACACAACCCCGTCAAATTTCTTCTTTTACACCCCAAAATTCATGAAATGCTATGCGATATTACACTCGCATGTCCAAATGAACCAGCGCATATCCAATCGGCCGCATAATTTCTGACTATGCGTAAACAT